AGAGAGAGAGAGAGAGAGAGAGAGAGAGAGAGAGAGAGAGAGAGAGAGAGAGAGAGAGAGAGAGAGAGAGAGACACGTAGGCGTAACATCGGGCTGTCTGCTGTTATATCCAGCAGGATTGAACGTGTCTCAGTCTCCGGTGTAACGTGAACGGAGGAGAGGCGATGCTACCGCTCCTGATGCCCTGCGCTACTTCTTCTTCTTCTTCTTCTCTACTCCTACTCTCCATCTCTCCACTTCCCAGGCCGTACGGGGACTGACAGAACCCGCACCCAGACACACGCGCACACCCAGCCACCCACCCAGAAGGAGGAATTAGACACAGATCCGAGCCGGTCCCGGACCTCCATTGGCAAACATCAGCGGGTACGGGCCTCTTTATCTGATTCCCCCTCCATCACCTGTCTTTTATTCTAGCAGCCGAGGTCCACACACGAGCAGATGGCCGGAGGCGCCAGCTGGCCTGCTGGCCGCTGTACTGCTCTTCCAGCGACACCGTTTACGTTAAAGTCACCTTTATATTTGTGGATTTCTCGCCTGTATTCTTTATGAGGTAAATTGAATTGGCTAAGTGATGTCAAACTGTTGGAAGTGACGCAAAACGGGGCTTTGGTACTTTGTCCGCGGATTTTGCTTTATTATGAGCATTTTGTAATTATTATTTACCTCGACATCGCTGATGTGTGTGTGTGTGTGTGTGTGAGACAGGGAGATGTGTGTTTGTGCGTAAGGAGGGCGTGTGTGCGCGCGTGCTGATCCCTTTATGTAGTGTGTGTTGTCTGTGCGGTGGAATCCCCCGTGTACAAACCCATCCAGCACGATGGGCACAATAGCCCGTTTATGTCGCCGAAAACGGACATTTAAATGTCACAACATTTAGTGGGAAATGATTGATTTTGCATGGATGCCGATTTTCTTATTTTCCCCCATTTTCAAAGCACAGCCCGTTACTGGTCAAATCCGATCCGGTTACTACACCATCGAGAGAGCAGAATAATCCACACACAGTGTGGCCCTGGGAAAACGCAATCCGCTGCAATCCGTACACAGAGCAGGAATAATGAGGGGAGACAGAGGCCATGTTTGAATCATCTGGACCCGAAATGAAAGCCTCTCTGGCGCATTAACAGTTCCGTGTTCCCCTGCTTCTAGAGGGTTCTGGATGCTTTCAGGAGGAGAGGATTTGGTGGGATGGTTAAAGGGAAATGAGCTCAAAATGGCTCACAACACACACACTCTCACACACACACACACACACACACACACACACACACACACACACACACAAAGTAGCAGCAGTGGTGCTTTGATGTTATTCATGATCCAACAATATTGTAGCTTTGCTGAGTAATGAGTCATATTTGTAGCTTGCTGGGGAGATGACAGTGTTCGGCATGTGGGCCTAAACATACTTGGCGATGTTGTGATATGGGGTGATGCAGATATGTGAGGCCGAAAATATGTAAAACCAGATGGTACGATCGGTGTCGTCCACCTCTGCATTAATGGATGTGATGCAGCCAGGTTATTAATTCATATTTAATGCAGAGATGATGTATGGGGATTGCCTGTCTAGAAGACAGCTGTTAACCTGAAGTGATTTATTCTGACAAGTTTGGATCAAATTACAATGACTTACAATCTTACTCAGAACTGTAGCATTAAAGTTGTCACATTTACATGTGCCTGAAATATGAAAAAGGCCAGTATATAAAATAATGAAAGAGCCTGTGTGACTTTTGACAGAGAAAATAACACAATATCGCTGACTAATGAAAAGTTGTATTGGTTCACAATAAACCACACCTTTGTTCAATTCAATACACTCGGTGATTGGTTGCTACAGCCTCAGTAGGTCTGGTATGACCAGTAGCCTATGGTGACTAATGCTATCTGTTAGCGTACCTTAGATGTTGCTATATATCTGAACTGAGTCCGTCCACTGACTAGTCTGCTCTTCTCGTGCCTCTGTTCACGATAAAATCTTTCGCGATTACAATGATACATTTACGAGATTTATTTTTTAACAAAGTTCTGTTTGTATCTGTTTTCCTCTACCAGCAGAAACACAAGACAAATGTCGTAGCCTCAGCCATAGTACTCCATCGCTACTGTTGCAGCTGTAAAAGGGTGGATAAATTGTTCTGAGCCAAATTAATAATTTCACGATCAGAATTTGAGCAATTTGGTCCGATAACGTTCGGAAAGTCTAGAAGAGCCGCACCGTTGAAGTATTTTATGCCCATTCAAGCTAGTACAGGGCTAAATCAGAAGTTAGCCAGCTTGGCCAGCGGGAGTCTCTGGTGTCGAGAGCATGTCGTGAGCGTGAGCATTCTGCAAAACAACAAGAAGTGCTGTATATACCGTAAATATGTAATCAACGCTCACCCACCTCACCTGTTCTGATAATGAAATAACTGTATATTATAAACCATAATTAACCTTCTGGTTTCTTGGGTTCTATTTTTTAAACTGTAAATTGAGGATTATTGTGATAATTCAATATCGATCAATATAAAAAAAACGTATCGTGATAACATTTTTGGCCATATTGTCCAACTCTAGATCTAACTGACATGTTGAATGTATGTATTTTTTAATTACAAACCTACATTCAAGTGAGTTGCCATGTTTGTTGGAGTATGTTCAACCAACTGATGTGATGATCAGTAGAACCTCGTTCAGAACCAGGCGTCAACCTCCGGTTCTGCAGAGTGAAGTGTCTTAAAACGTGCATTCTCTCTACTGACCAGCAGGGGGCGACTCCTCTGGTTGCAAAAAGACGTCTGATTGTATAGAAGTCTGTGAGAAAATGACCCTACTTTTCATTTCATTTATTACCTCAGTAAACATTGTAAACATGAGTTTATGGTCTCAATCTCTAGTTTCAAGTCTTCTTCAATACAGCATGATGTTCATTTAGTAAATTATGGTCCATTTAGAGTCAAACAGACCATAAAGCAGGATATGCTTTAGGGCAAGCCTACTGTGATTGACAGGTCGCTGCCGCTACCAGAGCTGTATACAGCGTCTCTACGTCGCTCCTCCGCATTCCAAATGGGATCATTTCTGTTCATTGGCTGCAAAAGAGAACAACATGACTACAACCGTAATCCAAGATGGCAACGGCGAAATCGCCAAACTCGAGGCTTCATAATGGCAGTCCACAAACCAATGAGTGACGTCACGATGACTACGTCCACTTCTTATATACATATATGGTAGTGGTGTATAGTAACGAAGTAGAAATACTTCGTTACTGTACTTAAGTCGTTTTTTTGGATATCTGTACTTTACTTTACTACTGATATTTCTGTTGACTTTTACTTTTACTTCACTACATTTTTGCAAAGAAAACTGATACTTTACTCCGATACATTTCCCCTGAAACCTTCGTTACTCGCTACAAAATCAAATCTATCTTTGGAAAAAAAATTAATCATGAGACCAACATCGGGGACTGTGGTGGAACAGAGACTGCAAGCAAGCAGGTTTGGCGAATCAGTGGTCCTAGCTTGCAAGTTAAATCATTGGTTAATCACATCAATGCGCAATTGCAAACAAGTGCTCTCAAAGCCGCGGTGTTTTGATTCCCAGTGATGCCATATGCTATAGCTAGCGGGCGACTACATGAGCAGAATTCCACTCTACGATGACTGATTTCATGATGGAAGCACCTGCTACTCCCGCAACAAACTATGGTGGTGACGAAGATCAACACCCGTCGATCGCTAGCGAGTTAGTGAGCTGAGAAAGTGTTGACAGTTGTGAGATTTTGTTGTGTGGTGGCTAGCCACCACACCATAGGATTGACAGGAGCCGCGAGAGCGCAGCATTAGGGAAATCCTTCCCAGCTGTGCGCAAGCTGTCTGTGAAGCTGAACACACCTCTACCTGCCTCAGCGGCCTGTGAAAGGCTATTTAGCATCGCAGGACTAGTCTTCAGCCCAAGAAGAGCGAGACTGAATTCTCGCAATTTTGAAAACCAACTTCTTTTGAAGATGAACAGGACATTTTTCAGTTTCAAGTAATAACTGGGTTGCTGCTTTAGCATTGATCATGTTTTGATATTTGAGTCATTTTGTGGATGATCAGATGGAGTTATGATGGTTGCAGATTCAGCTTGAGCAAAACCTTTGCCCATTGTGTTCAAATCAGGCCCATAGGAGTTTACAAGGCAGGTGTCCTTTCTCACAACACTGACCTGATGCATCAAGTGGATATTTTTTGCTGAACACAACATTATGCATTTGCCCTCTACATCTAGTCGGAATGAGCATACTTATAAACGCACTGTTACAACTCCTTCATAGTGTCATATTGCTTTTCGGAGAATTATGATGATAAGTTCATAGTAGATGCAAAAGTATACTTATGTACAATATATTATGTTGAACATTGTTGCTCCTGGATGGATCACAGCCAACCCAATTATTGTCAACACAGCTCCATGTCCTTGGTCATGGTGCCACAGCACTTAAAAGAATAAACTTCATAATTCTCAAAATTCTGACCCTTTGCTTTTTTATTAACAGCATTTACTTGTACTTTTACTTTCAATACTTAAGTACATTTAATATCAGAAAATTACTTTTGATACTTAAGTACAATAAATATCAGATACTTTAAGACTTTTACTCAAGTAGTATTCTAATAGGTGACTTTTTACTTTTACTGGAGTAGTTTTCCAGTAAGGTATCTTTACTTTTACTCAAGTATGGCTTTTGGGTACTTTATACACCACTGATATATGGTCAGAACACACATCAAGCCATACAATAACAAAGAAGGAACATGCTCGTAAAACCCCCTTTTTACAACATAGCACCTTTAATAGCCTTTATATCTCCTTAAATTATTGATTTAGAAGCCTGATATTATGAGTACCACTTTAAGCAGTGACCAGTGATGGTAGTAGAAAAAAAGCTGTATTACTACTTGTAATTGCATTAACAGTAGGTCACTCATACTCTCTGTAGTTGTAGAAGCTGTTGCGGTAGCAGAAGTTTTCATTATAAGCCTGTAGCATTAATACCTATTATCACTAGTTTTAGCAGTAATAGTGTCAGAAATAGTAACAGTATTACTAGTACTGGTAGTAGAAGTAGATGATGTAGTAATAGTATTAGTAGTGTTCTAGTACTTTAGTACCATTAACCTCAGTGCTAGTTGCATTTGCGCCATTATTTTAAATCAACAGTAGTAGTAGTAGTAGTAGTATTGTTTGCAGCAGTAGTAGTATTAGCATAAATAATAGCAACAGTATTTAGTAGCAGTAAGGACTCAGTATACTTCAAAGGAACTATAAATCTGAAGAAAGAGTATTTAACTGATTCTTTTGAATTGTAGAAAGATCTTGCAACAGAGTAAACTCAAGGAAAAAGAGATATGATGCAGTTTGGTTCAAAGAGAAGTGTGAGCTATTATTATTACTAAGTAAGTCCACGTATGACCACCATAAAGAGCTGGTTAGGGACATGAAAAGAATGGAAAGAATTTGATTCCCAAACTTCAATAACTACACCCCAGATCATGTCCAAAATGTATAATGGTC